CCATGATCTTGGACAGCCATTCATCCATTATCTGAGGTAAATACCTGTCACTACGCGACACGGATTGAACTCTAGTGATCACAGCTTCTTAATAGAACTCCAGGAGATCCATCTAGAATCCAGTTATTAGTGAGCACATAATGATTATTGTCATAATGGGGATTTGTGGAGATTGTAGTAGCTCAGATCAATTCATGAATTCAACTATTAAAATTACTACAATCAACTATCAAAATACACTTTTCTATTTGTAGAAAGTGAATCTTAAATGACTGTACTCAATTATAACTAAGAACATGATATTGATTTATCTCTTAATGTTTTGGCATTTCACTTCAGTCAACGATAATATCTTTTATTATGGCACTTCAGTGTGCGTACTATCTTTCAGATCACAACCAACCTAGGTGTGCAAGGTGACAGTGTTTAAACATGACAATGTAATTTGATCAAGAGTAGACAATAACTCACATGAGTTCTTAACCACTGTCGAACCAGTTGAATTATCCTAAAACGACAGATTTCAATCAGAAGCTGAGGTAGTTAACATACACTAATTCAATCTTTACAGTACTACTCTGTACTGAATAGATACAGATTTGTTAAATTTTTGGGATTTACACTCTCAAAACATTGTCAATTAATTTCAGAATAGTTTCGAAGACATTATTGGATTTTAATCGACACCATTCTATGAAATCCATGACGGCTGAGTAAATACTATGATAACTATCTGACTAAAATGAAATCGAATTCTCTGATTTCATTTCCTATATATAAGCAGATTAATTTCAACAACGTGATGATAAAAATCCGGTGTGAAATGTGTTGAGGATAATAATAAATCAAACACCGCCTGGAATCCCTCTGAAGGCTACTGCTCCTCTCAAGCCCGGATAAAGGAAGAGGCTTGGGCATGGGATTACCGATCCCATCCCGTAGAAAACTAACTCGCTGAAAAACGCTAACCAGAAAAAATATTCAAACTATTTAAACTCTGCCCTGGGAGTTAGACGGTTTTCATTTAGAAGAGTTATGATGTCTTATGGTGAAAGCCGAGTTCCTACGAAAGTCACGAGGCTGGTGCCCTCTCTGACAACCAAAGCAACCATTAATTTAGGTAAATAGAATGCTCGTACGATGTGAGAGACCGGGAGAGTCAGCCAAGTTGTTGCAGAAATGAAAAGATACAACATGAAGGTGCTTGGAATCAGTGAAACTCATTGGACGCAGGTTGGAAAACAACGACTAGCTTCAGGGGAGCCCCTGTTATACTCTGGCCATGAAAAAGAAAATGCTCCACATACATAAGGCGTTGCACTGACACTATCCAAACAAGCACAACGAGCATGTATAGGATGGGAATCTCATGAACTCAGGTTCATCAAAGCCTCCTTCAAAACAAAGAAAGAGGGTATCTCAATGAACGTTATCCAATGCTATGCGCCCTCCAACGATTACAATGAAGACGTTAAAGATCAATTCTGCGATAGGCTCCGGTTAATCGTTGAGAAATTCTCAACAAAGGATTTGACCATTTTGATGGGAGATTTCAATGCCAAGGTTGGAATGAACAACACTGGATATGAAGTTATCATGGGAAGACATCGACTGAGAGAAGCGAGCAAAAATGGTGAGAGATTTGTAAACCTATGTGCTTTCAATAAACTAGTCATAGGCGGCACTATATTCCCACACAAACGCATACACAAAACCACATGAACTTCACCGGATCACACTACACAAAACCAAATCGACCACATCTGCATCAACAAAACGTTCAGGAGGACAATGGAGGTTGTGAGAACCAAGAGAAGAGGTGATATAGCATCAGATCACCACTTGCTGGTCGTCAAGATGAAATTGAAACTCAAGAAGCACCGGACAATGGGGTGGGCAACAGCAGAAAGGTTTAATATGGCCTTTCATAAGGATACTGACAAACTCAGCAAATTCAAGATAGTCCTCAACAATAAGTTCCAGGCCTTTCATAATCTACTCAATGGAGAGGGAACCACTGTGGAGATCAAATGCAAAAAGATATAAGAGACAGTCACTTCAAAATGTCATGAGGTTCTAGACCACAAGAACACCACCACAAGGAATGTATCACTGTTGATACACTGGATAAGATTCAAGAAAGGAGGAACAGGAAGACAGCAATCCATACAAGCCGAACAAGAGCAGAAAAAGCCAATGCACAGAAGTAAACAAACAAGTGAAGAGGAGCATCAGGACCGACAAACGTAAATATGTGGAAGATCTGACAACGACGGTGGAAAAGGATGCAAGCGAAGGAAACATGAAACAACTGTATGACACAACTAAGAAAATCGCTGGAAATTACCGTAAGCCAGAACTACCAGTGAAAAGCAAGGAAGGCAAGGTAATCACCAACATTGGAGAACAGCAAAACAGGTGGGTAGAACACTTCAAAGAACTCTTGAATCGACCAGCTCCACTGAACCCACCCAACATCGAAGCAGCACCCACGGACCTCCCAATCAATGTTGACCCACCAACAATTGAAGAAATCAGCATGGTCATCAGGTACATCAAGAGTGGCAAAGCAGCAGGACCAGACAACATTCCAGCAGAGGCACTGAAAGCAGACGTACCGGTAACTGCAAGGATACTCCACATTCTCTTCAGCAAGACTTGGAATGAGGAACAAGCACCAACAGACTGGAAAGAAGGACTTCTGATATAAACACCGAGGAAAGACGATCTCAGCAACTGTGATAACTACGGGGTATCACTCTTCTCTCAATACCGGGAAAAGTCTTCAACAGTGTACTGTTAAACAGAATGAAGGACTGCGTAGACGCCCAACTTCGTGACCAACAGGCTGGATTCCGTAAGGATAGATCGTGTACAGACCAAATAGTAACTCTACGGATCATTGTGGAACAATCAATTGAATGGAATTCATCACTCTACATCAACTTCATTGCCTACGAAAAAGCATTTGATAGTGTGTACAGAACAACACTATGGAAACATCTTCGACACTACGGCGTGCCTCAGAAGATAGTCAATATCATACAGAGTTCATATGATGGATTCAACTGCAAAATCGTGCATGGAGGACAGTTGACAAAGTCGTTCGAAGTAAAGACCGATGTTAGGCAAGGTTGCTTACTCTCACCCTTTCTCTTTCTCCTGGTGATCGACTGGATCATGAAGACGTCAACACCTGAGGGGAAGCACGGGATACAGTGGACAGCTAGAATGCAGCTGGACGATCTAGACTTCGCAGGTGATCTGGCCCTTCTATTGCAAACGCAACAACAAATGCAGGAGAAGACGACCAGTGTAGCAGCAGTCTCAGCAGCCGTAGGTCTTAACATACACAAAGGGAAAAGCAAGATTCTCCGATACAACACAGCATGCACCAATCCAGTCACAATTGACGGAGGAGATTTGGAACATGTAAAAACCTTTACATATCTGGGCAGTATCATTGATGAACAGGGTGGATCTGATGCAGATTTGAAGGCGAGGATCGGTAAATCAAGAGCAGTATATTTACGACTGAGGAACATCCGGAACTCAAAGCAACTGTCAAACAACACCAAGGTTAGGATTTTCAATACAAATGTCAAGATAGTTCTACTGTATGGGGCGGAAACCTGGAGAACTACGAAAGCCATCATCCAGAAAATACAAGTGTTTATTAACAGTTGTCCACGCAAAATACTTCAGATCCGTTGGCCAGACACTATTAGCAACAACCTACTGCGGGAGAGAACAAACCAGATCCCAGCGGAGGAAGAAATCAGTAAGAAGCGCTGGAAGTGGATAGGGCACATATTGAGGAAAGCACTCAACTGCGTCACAAAACAAGCCCTCACATGGAATCCTCAATGCCAAAGCAAAAGAGGAAGACCAAATAAACATTCCGCCGGGAAATGAAAATAGACATGAGAAAAATGAACAAGAATTGGATGGAACTAGAAAAGAAGGCACAGGACAGAGTGTGTTGGAGAATGCTGGTCGGCGGCCTATGCTCCATTGGGAGTAACAGGCGTAAGTAAGTAAGTACGCGTATAATATCAGATGAACGAAGGAGAAGAAAGATCAATAATTGAATAAAGGAAGAATGCTGCCTTGTTGTCTTATTACTGAATGAATTTGTGATTTGGTTTATGTACCCTTACATTTAGTACGGTAAACTGATATCAAACAGATAAACGCAGACATATGGAAATTGAGCACTGTAATTCGTACAATATGATTAGTATGACTAAAAAAGAAACATACAAGTGTGAAAAATAATTGCTAGGATTATTATGAATTGACTGTCACATTATTTATGATTTCACATGTGCTCACAATAGAACCGATATTCGTAAGTGTGTAATTTTAGAGGAGTTTCATAAAATAGTACTGTCCAATCGATTGTAGCAGCTGATACTATGTCCAGCACACATAGGCTATTCGAACTTTTGGATAAACCAGTTTATTCATTCTTCTCAAGCCCCATTTTGACCTTGTCACTTATTCGTTTACTAATCCCGACTGTTTTCATATGGTCGTATGTGTGTTAATTGCTTACCCTGATCATTACGTGTCTGTAATTTATTTTTCTCTGAATGTAAATGTTAAGTCACTCGCACTCTCCAGTGAGCGTCACTTCGTATCGTCGCGCTTCGCTTCCTTTACTAGGTCTTTCTGATTTTCTGTTCACATAAACGATTTTATGAAATATACTTATCGAAATTCATCCTCGTATTTGGCTTATTTGATTCCGTTACTCACTAACGATAATTATATATGATGGTTGATGGCATGTATATTTCGATAACAATCATCGTACGGTCTAAGTGAACTCAGATATGAGGCCAATAAAGTGTTAATCCCCACTATGAACCTAACGTAACAGACTACCTCGATGAAGAAACTTCCGCACACCATACTTTCGAAGAACGAACTCAACTTAGTTTATTCAATCGATAACCTCACCAATAATATCATACCACCACAGGATCAATGATTCATTATTCACGTTGAGCATATCTAAGATTAAATGAAATACCAAATAATAATATAAACGACAACTTGCCGAAATCATGGAATTCATAAACACCGAAAAATCCTGTCCTCACATACATTCCATTAGAGAAGAATTTCAAGTTTAAACACGGTTGACGCCATTGAATTTTGAATGGATCCACTGGACTTTGTTTTTGACATAATCGACGTTTTGGTGTGCTGAATAATTCTGTTGGATAACAACTACTAATTTCAACATTATCACCCATCGTATCATCTGTACAACTTCGTCAATGAGAAAAAATGTGTAGAAAAAAAATTGGAATGTGGACACTTGTTTAATAGTACTTGATGCCTTGTTCATTATTTGTCAGTATTAGGTGGTTGGAACTAGTCGACAGACAAAGCTCCAATCTTGAGGTTACAGACCCTCTCTGTGAGGTTCAAACCAGCGTCATCAAGATGGGAATCTGAGAAACTCCCATTGAGCTAATTAGTTTTCAGATGACCTTCTGCTGAAATGAGATACATTCACTGACTAGTCATTTCTATTCACTGTCATTATAACTGATTTTAAACAGCTTGTTTGTATCAAATTAAGGTAAATCCAAACAACTGTTAATGTTTGAAGGTGTGAAGTTTCTGGTGAACAGCTGAAGAATAGCTTGACTTATCATTACTTTTTTTGACAGGATGGCTACTTATTCATGAATTAAACAGCTAACATTATTCAACATCATGGTTGGGACAACATATATAAGTGAACAATAGTGTTTTCGATTAGATCCTCATCAGGCTTTACTCGAATATATATGAATATCTAGATGCAGATCTGAAATTATTAAACTGATCAATGCAGTTTATGAGGCAATGATAACAGTGGAATAGATTACATAAATAAGCATAATAAGTAAAAAGTAAAGAAATTGATAGTGTGATGTCAGGTGTACTAGTTGTGGTAAAAAATAATATAGGCTTGAATCAATGTTTCATAACAGGAAGTAGGTCGACGACTTGAAAAATAAACACTGAAATAATATTCATTGAAAATCATAAGATTATGTATTAGGAGATGCTCAGATAATTGGACAGTGAAGTGTATATTCGAGAAAAGGGGTTGGAGAAAAATCAACGAACAAAGAGTGTGGAAAATAATAATAAACGAATAAAGTCATTTATTAAATCTGATTCGGCCAAAGAAGAGACAAGGGTATTGAAAATTTATTATAAAGACAGGAACTTGGATTGTTAGCTCGAATCCCTATGGCTTCTGCAATATGTAAGAAACGGGATCGAACATTATGAGGAAAACTGGTGGGGATAGGATATGTCGCTTTAAATGACATATTTCTGTCTACTACATAAACGCTATCGATCAATTGTGATGGAACAGAGCTGCGTAGTGTTTAGATGGTGCACTCTCCTAACCAAGAAGGAAGGTGTTTATTTACTCGTTCGCTCATTTTTCTCGTATTGCACCAAATAAAGCTTTCTCTATAGGAGCAGCTGAATTCGCAGATACACATGCATGTGGCAGAATCAGTAACTTATACTTTGCTTGAGGAATCACGATAGATGGGGGTCGAATACGATAGGCAGCGGTCAGCTTCATTAAACGTTCTCTTAACTGCTCTAGTATAGGAATATACTTGTAATATCTCAATGACTAGGAAATGCAATTTCTGACATTTCGTAAATTAAGGGTCAAGGTACTTCTTATGACACATGCATGTGCATTTGTTAGTGGACATGGAAAATGTGATATTTTTCAAATGGAAAGGTAGCTGAATTTGTATGATAACTGTGTGAGATGTGAATAGACTTAGATATATTAGCCGTGATAGATGGTCCAAGTTGGGTGGATGGTAAGGCATTCATTTCTATTGAGGGCACTAAAATTTAGAAATGTGTGTAAAGTTCCAGTAACCCGCCTTTTTATTGCTGGAAACGCGTTTTTTAATCATTTTGATGTTTTTTATACCAACTTGACGGTAATAGATGGTGTCTTTCCGTATTGGTCAGTCAACTAGTTAAACTTAGACTACAGCAAAATAACATCTAAGCTGTACAAAAAACCATCTATTGATCCTGTGGTAAGTTATGTGGATTACTGAGAAGTCCCATACTAAGACGAAACGGCCGTCCAAACTTTCAGGTTTCTAGTAGGTTCAGTTCACGATTTAAACTACGAGAATTATCTAGTCTCCTCAAGTCAGTCTATTCCAATAATAACCATGTACTCACTACCTTCGAGATGCAACCCTTGGATTTCTAGTAAGAAATCACGACAATTGGAGTTCAACCATGTCAAGTGTGAGACAGTTATCTAGATCAGGCAATGGCTGAAGTTTGTTAAATGCTGTTAATGTAATATATTAGATTATTTATTGTTTGAAGTATAGACTTGCATTGAGTCATGAGACGTCAGAGATTTTATAATCTACTCATTAAGATATTATAAAGAAATCATCATTTTTTATTATTAGATAGTTTGTTTGGTTTGAATTTCGTTTACCTACGATTTTCAGGTCACTTTTCTGAGCGAACTATCAGTTAGGCTAAATTTAGTTCTACCGGTGATAATGATATAAACCGGAACTTTAATAATTTTGTCGTTAATAATAAGATGTGAAATAATAACCATACTTCAGGTCGATTTGACGTAACTCGGCCAGCTTTGTAAAGTAGATAATGCAGTGTTAATTCTTCACTGAGGATAACTTGTTATGAAGTAGTCTATGCTCAAAAGTTCAACACTGGCTGGTTTAAAGCATTTTTTGGCAAGACGTAACTGGATTATTGAAGGAAATTAGTGATTTTTATGTCGTTGGGAACCGCATCAACAAGTATCGGTTACATCTAGAGCTTAGATTCTTAGTGTACCGCGTACAATTTGAGCATTTGAACGCTAGGACTCTCCAAGGCGCAAATGAGAAGACAAAAAACAAGTGAAAGGAACGCTATTCCAAATAGGGTCAAATATTGTACGAAACTCCCTGGTATTTATAGTTTTTAGTAAAAGTGAAGTCATTTTTATAGTCATCTAATCCGCATACAGTGGTTTTCAGCATTCGTCTAACAGGGAAACTACACGTCGAAATTCTGGAATGTTCTTCCAAAAGATGATTGGGTGGAATATCTCCGGCTCTTTCTGAGCTTGTTAGTGATTCCTCGAGCTAACCCGTGAGCCGTCCTCACAGTATCGAAGTCTGTAACGTCACCAGTGAGCTGATCGATACGTAACTGATCTCTTCTAGAGTTGAGACAGTCAGTCTTATTGACAACTAGTATCTGTTAATTGTAAAAGACTAGTTATTTCCAAGATGAGGTATCGTTTAAATTTGCTTACTGGACGATATATGTTTATCTCTTTTAATTTCTAAAGTAACAATAGTTTATCTTTCTTACAGGCAGGTTTCTTGTAGCATAAAAGTGTATAAAATAGTAAAATAGCTTTCTAAAAGTTCTCAGTTATTTATCTTTAAAGCCGTGTGAACATATTTGGAAAATCAATTATATTTAAGTGGCTTATTATCTCTTATCTAAATTGTTGACATGTATCTTGATCTCAACGGCTTAGACAAATTCCTTAGCTCCAAAAAACCATAACTGCTTGGACTAAGGTAAAAAAACAGAATGTTGTAAACAAGGAAGTTTACTTCAAAGGTTAAATATTATACAGAAACCAGAAAGTTAATAAGGTTAGCAGATATTATGAGATTTAAGGAGCTTCGAGAATACCTACTAAAATTGATTAAGAAGTTGATAATTGTTTAATAAAAGCGATGAAAGTATATTCAGTCGTCTACCAGATTTTTCATGTAAGTTTCCTACAGGTATTGATTGGTTAGAGTAATTTCGACAGTTTTCCTAACTATCGGATATTTCAAAGAATTAAGAAGGAATCTCAGTGGCCGTTAGACTTATGTATGAGCTATTAAGAAGTTCATTTCTGGTGAAAAATCTAAGATAATTCAATAAATCTTCAATGGCATGTGTTTATTAAGGAAAACGAAACAAAAAGATAACTTCTATACGATTAAAATCAACCACTTACGTTTTAGAAGTACTTTCTACATCAAATTCCAAGAATGTAATATCAATTCTTCTTACGTTTAACCCAGAAAATCGATATTCACAAATGATATCAATTGGATATAATCCAGGATAATTTGGTGATGAGAAATTCCCTGTTATTGATTGAGAACGATTGAATTCGAAGAAGCAACCTGTGAAGATTACGAAACACTAGATTCTAAGTGTGTTTCAACGACGACCACTCCATTTATAATGGGTACTACACTGGTGATCTAGAGGTAGTAGAATCTATTACTGAATAAAAAATGAGTATTCTTATTCTGGAACTCACCGAATGTCTTGCATAGAGCAGGATCCTCACGCGATTTTAAATGGAAGATGTGAGTGTTAGTGGAAGACGTTATTTCACCAATGTGACACTAATCGAGCCAACCAAGTTTATGTACAAGCAAATATTGAAAAATAAATAACAATAAGCTTCGTTCAAGATAGTCTTAAATTTAATCCTATTGTGTATTCAACTTCGCCTGGATTCCCTCTGAAGGCTACTGCTCCTCTCAAGCCCGGATAAAGGAAGAGGCTTGGGCATGGGATTACCGATCCCATCCCGTAGAAAACTAACTCGCTGAAAAACGCTAACCAGAAAAAATATTCAAACTATTTAAACTCTGCCCTGGGAGTTAGACGGTTTTCATTTAGAAGAGTTATGATGTCTTATGGTGAAAGCCGAGTTCCTACGAAAGTCACGAGGCTGGTGCCCTCTCTGACAACCAAAGCAACCATTAATTTAGGTAAATAGAATGCTCGTACGATGTGAGAGACCGGGAGAGTCAGCCAAGTTGTTGCAGAAATGAAAAGATACAACATGAAGGTGCTTGGAATCAGTGAAACTCATTGGACGCAGGTTGGAAAACAACGACTAGCTTCAGGGGAGCCCCTGTTATACTCTGGCCATGAAAAAGAAAATGCTCCACATACATAAGGCGTTGCACTGACACTATCCAAACAAGCACAACGAGCATGTATAGGATGGGAATCTCATGAACTCAGGTTCATCAAAGCCTCCTTCAAAACAAAGAAAGAGGGTATCTCAATGAACGTTATCCAATGCTATGCGCCCTCCAACGATTACAATGAAGACGTTAAAGATCAATTCTGCGATAGGCTCCGGTTAATCGTTGAGAAATTCTCAACAAAGGATTTGACCATTTTGATGGGAGATTTCAATGCCAAGGTTGGAATGAACAACACTGGATATGAAGTTATCATGGGAAGACATCGACTGAGAGAAGCGAGCAAAAATGGTGAGAGATTTGTAAACCTATGTGCTTTCAATAAACTAGTCATAGGCGGCACTATATTCCCACACAAACGCATACACAAAACCACATGAACTTCACCGGATCACACTACACAAAACCAAATCGACCACATCTGCATCAACAAAACGTTCAGGAGGACAATGGAGGTTGTGAGAACCAAGAGAAGAGGTGATATAGCATCAGATCACCACTTGCTGGTCGTCAAGATGAAATTGAAACTCAAGAAGCACCGGACAATGGGGTGGGCAACAGCAGAAAGGTTTAATATGGCCTTTCATAAGGATACTGACAAACTCAGCAAATTCAAGATAGTCCTCAACAATAAGTTCCAGGCCTTTCATAATCTACTCAATGGAGAGGGAACCACTGTGGAGATCAAATGCAAAAAGATATAAGAGACAGTCACTTCAAAATGTCATGAGGTTCTAGACCACAAGAACACCACCACAAGGAATGTATCACTGTTGATACACTGGATAAGATTCAAGAAAGGAGGAACAGGAAGACAGCAATCCATACAAGCCGAACAAGAGCAGAAAAAGCCAATGCACAGAAGTAAACAAACAAGTGAAGAGGAGCATCAGGACCGACAAACGTAAATATGTGGAAGATCTGACAACGACGGTGGAAAAGGATGCAAGCGAAGGAAACATGAAACAACTGTATGACACAACTAAGAAAATCGCTGGAAATTACCGTAAGCCAGAACTACCAGTGAAAAGCAAGGAAGGCAAGGTAATCACCAACATTGGAGAACAGCAAAACAGGTGGGTAGAACACTTCAAAGAACTCTTGAATCGACCAGCTCCACTGAACCCACCCAACATCGAAGCAGCACCCACGGACCTCCCAATCAATGTTGACCCACCAACAATTGAAGAAATCAGCATGGTCATCAGGTACATCAAGAGTGGCAAAGCAGCAGGACCAGACAACATTCCAGCAGAGGCACTGAAAGCAGACGTACCGGTAACTGCAAGGATACTCCACATTCTCTTCAGCAAGACTTGGAATGAGGAACAAGCACCAACAGACTGGAAAGAAGGACTTCTGATAAAAACACCGAAGAAAGACGATCTCAGCAACTGTGATAACTACGGGGTATCACTCTTCTCTCAATACCGGGAAAAGTCTTCAACAGTGTACTGTTAAACAGAATGAAGGACTGCGTAGACGCCCAACTTCGTGACCAACAGGCTGGATTCCGTAAGGATAGATCGTGTACAGACCAAATAGCAACTCTACGGATCATTGTGGAACAATCAATTGAATGGAATTCATCACTCTACATCAACTTCATTGCCTACGAAAAAGCATTTGATAGTGTGTACAGAACAACACTATGGAAACATCTTCGACACTACGGCGTGCCTCAGAAGATAGTCAATATCATACAGAGTTCATATGATGGATTCAACTGCAAAATCGTGCATGGAGGACAGTTGACAAAGTCGTTCGAAGTAAAGACCGATGTTAGGCAAGGTTGCTTACTCTCACCCTTTCTCTTTCTCCTGGTGATCGACTGGATCATGAAGACGTCAACACCTGAGGGGAAGCACGGGATACAGTGGACAGCTAGAATGCAGCTGGACGATCTAGACTTCGCAGGTGATCTGGCCCTTCTATTGCAAACGCAACAACAAATGCAGGAGAAGACGACCAGTGTAGCAGCAGTCTCAGCAGCCGTAGGTCTTAACATACACAAAGGGAAAAGCAAGATTCTCCGATACAACACAGCATGCACCAATCCAGTCACAATTGACGGAGGAGATTTGGAACATGTAAAAACCTTTACATATCTGGGCAGTATCATTGATGAACAGGGTGGATCTGATGCAGATTTGAAGGCGAGGATCGGTAAATCAAGAGCAGTATATTTACGACTGAGGAACATCCGGAACTCAAAGCAACTGTCAAACAACACCAAGGTTAGGATTTTCAATACAAATGTCAAGATAGTTCTACTGTATGGGGCGGAAACCTGGAGAACTACGAAAGCCATCATCCAGAAAATACAAGTGTTTATTAACAGTTGTCCACGCAAAATACTTCAGATCCGTTGGCCAGACACTATTAGCAACAACCTACTGCGGGAGAGAACAAACCAGATCCCAGCGGAGGAAGAAATCAGTAAGAAGCGCTGGAAGTGGATAGGGCACATATTGAGGAAAGCACTCAACTGCGTCACAAAACAAGCCCTCACATGGAATCCTCAATGCCAAAGCAAAAGAGGAAGACCAAATAAACATTCCGCCGGGAAATGAAAATAGACATGAGAAAAATGAACAAGAATTGGATGGAACTAGAAAAGAAGGCACAGGACAGAGTGTGTTGGAGAATGCTGGTCGGCGGCCTATGCTCCATTGGGAGTAACAGGCGATGTAAGTAAGTTAGTAAGTAAGTACTGACATAAATTCCATAGGTAACTGACCATGAACTAATGTTCTCTGGTCTCAGTGATCATGCTACCACGTCATCGAAACTATGCCCAATTCAACTTTATTTACATGTCTGTCAGAAATAATTATCTTTTAACGGCGTTAATAACAGCCCATATATCTCTAACAGGACTAGCGATAACATTGTTCATAATAAAATCTTCTCATCAACAATAGTATTTAATCTACTTATATAATCATCCCGTATCTCATATCTTTGATTTCTACGTCAGCGTTGGATAAGACACTCACTGAGGAAAGCATCCTTTTGCGTTATAAAGCAAGCCTTTCATTGAGATATCAAAAACTTCAAATAATTCAAGATAGTTTTCAACAACGTGTTCGAAGCCTTTCAGGATCTACTGAAGGAAGAATAAACTAATATGAAGGACAGCTGGAAAGGTATCAAAGAAGCATTAGCTTCAACGTGGCAGCGGGTTCTGGCCGCAAGAATCATCATCATAAAGAATGGATCTCTATAGAAACTCTGGACAGGATCAAAGAAAGGATGAACAAGAAGACAGCAATTAACAACAGACGAACACGAGCTGAGAAAGTCAAGACACAAGCTGAGTACACAAGAGTAAACAAGCAAGTGAAGAAGAGCATTAAAGCCGACAAGCAGAAATACGTGGAACAACTAGCAACGACGTTGGAAATAGCTGCAAAAGAAGGAAATATGAAACAAATATATGATACAACGAAGAAACTAGCAGGGAGATATAGTAAACCGGAGAGATCGGTCAAGGACAAAGAAGGCCAATCACTGAAATTCAAAGACAGAGGAACAGATAGGTAGAGTACTTTGAAGAACTCGTGCATAGGTCGACCCCAATGAATCCACCGGCTATCGAAACAGCACACATAAACCTTCCCATAGTTGTCACTCCATCATCAACCGAATAAATCGGGATGGCTATCAAACAAATCAAGAGCAGGAAAGAAACAGGACCTGACAATATACCAGCTGAAGCACTGAAGTCAAACATCGAAGTAACTGCAAACATACTTCACCTTCTATTTAAGAAGGTCTGGAAGAAGAAACAAGCGCCAACAAACCGGAAAGAAGGGAACCTCGTCAAGATTCCGAAGAAAAAAGATCTGAGCAAATGCGAAAACTACATAAGCATCACACTGCTTTCAGTACCAGTGAAAGTCTTTAACAGTGTGTTGCTGAACCGTATGAAAGACGCAGTAGACACCCAACTTCGTGACCAACAGGCTGGATTCCGTAAAGATTAGTTGTGCGCAGACCAAATTGTGATACTACAGATCATCGTCAAACAATCAGTTGAGTGTAATTTGTCACTATACATCAACTTAATTGACTATGAGAAGGTGTTTGATAGTGTAGATAGGATAACATTATGGAAACTTTTCCGACACTATGGAGTTTCTGAGAAGATTGTCAACATTATGCGGAACTCATAC